GATCGAGTCCCGCATCGGGCTCCCTACTCGGCGGGGAGTCTGCTTTTCCCTCTGACCCTCCCCCCTCTCATGTGCTCTCTCTCTCTCTCAAATAAATAAATAAAATCTTAAAAAAAAAAATAGAACTCAGAAACAACCAAATGGAAATCCACATGGGGTAAGGTCTGAGAAGGTCCTAGATATAGAACCTCCAGGTCTCTGTGGAATCAGAGCCTGTCATTCTTCCAGCACGTCCGTGTGTTCACCATCTAGGAAGCTCTTCTAAGCCAAAGTTTTTGTTGACATGATTAATTATGGCATGATTGATTAAATCGCTGGCCACATGACTGAATTCAGTCTCCAGACTTACTTCCCTGCTAGAGGTCAGGCTGGCCTAAAATTCCAAGCCTCTTAATCACAAGGTTGGTCTTTATGGTGACCAGTCCTATCCTGAAGCTCTAGAAACCCACTTTGGAAATTCCAAAGGTTTTTGAAGCTCTGTGTCAGGAACAGGGCACAAAACCAGATATATGTATTCTTTTTTTATTTTAATTTTTTTTGTGTGATTTTACTTTTAAGCAATCTCTGCACCCAATGTGGGGCTTGAACTTACAACCCTGAGATCAAGAGCCACATGCTCTTCTGACTTAATTAAGTCAGCCAGGCGCATCTGTATTCTTTATTATGTCACAGCTTCTTAAAGAGCTTGTGAAAATATAAACAGGAAGAATTAGAAAAGTCATACCTTTATAATTATCAAGTTGCCTGTATTTAAATTTATCAGCTTACCTAAGTCTCAACTTTTTTTTACATTTATAATTTTTGAGTTTTCTGAAATTTTAACCATCAAGTCTTTACTTGGATCTTCTGTTGGATTAAAAATTTAAAGGTTCTCAATATTATGGTTCATGTGATGAAAGTGCATTAGTTTATAATAATTTTACTGCTAAGATTATCCAATTGTATTCAAAATGTACCAAAGTGTTTAAATATTTCATTTTAAAGAAAATTATTTCCGGGACGCCTGGGTGGCTCAGTTGGTTAAGCGACTGCCTTCGGCTCAGGTCATGATCCTGGAGTCCCTGGATCGAGTCCCGCATAGGGCTCCCTCCTGAGCAGGGAGTCTGCTTCTCCCTCTGACCCTCCCCTCTCTCATGTGCGCGCTCTCACTCATTCTCTCTCTCTCTCAAATAAATAAAATCTTAAAAAAAAAAAAAAAAGAAAATTATTTCCAATTTTTCGTTACAAATAAACCAAAATAAATGAATTGGAGAAATACATGAATTGGAGAAAACAAAAAAAACTTGGCATAGCCTCTGAGGTACTAACAATAGATAATTTAATGCCTTCTGCTGGCCATCACATTGTTAATTTTTGTGAAGTCGTGGGGATAGTGAATATCTTAATTTTGGAAATACATTTTACCACAGCCAAAAAGAAAATAGACAGTTTTAAGATTATTCTTAAAAGAACAATGTAGTCTTTGACTTGAGATTTTTAGGCTAAGAGTAACCTCCAAAAGGATATATATATGCCCGTCTCCACCCCTGGGAGCCAAAATTGATCTACCTTTGACTGCCTCTACTAGAAAGCAGTGACTTGTGAGAATACGAAGATATTGAAGTATTCCACCTCATATATAAATAGCAACTGATACTAGAAATGAATTAAGTCAATTTTAGGTTTAGTCAGAAGACAGGAAACTGACAAGACTGTCGAACACAGATTTCCTCTTTAGACAGTCCTTTTTGGGCTAACTTTCTGATTCCTTTTATCATCTCTTGCCTATGCCTCAGGCAGGGAGAAAAATAAATTTATTTTAGATCCAAAGAAGTAGTTACTCAATTTTCATGGCCCATTTCTTTTTACTTATTATAATAGGTAGGCATAGCCCAGGAGTTCTGTGATTCTTCCCAGTGATTAACTTCTTTCATATTGCATTAGTCATGCATTTTTTTTTTTTAAGTTTTATTTATTTCTGGGACACCTGGGTGGCTCAGTTGTTTGGGCGTCTGCCTTCAGCTCGGGTCATGATCCCAGGGTCCTGGGATCGAGCCCCACATTGGGCTCCTTGCTCAGCGGGGAGTCTGCCTCTCCCTCTCCCTCTGCCTGCCACTCCCCCTGCTTGTGTTCTCTGTCAAAGAAATAAGTAAAATCTTGATTTTGACCTGAGCCGAAGGCAGAGACACAGCGAGAGAGAGAACACAAGCAGGGGGAATGGGAGAGGGCCAATCAGGCTTCCTGCCGAGCAGGGAGCCCGATGTAGGACTTGATCCCAGGACCCCGGGATCATGACCTGAGCCGAACCCAGGTGCCCTTTAGTCATGCATTTTTTAAAGTGATAATTGGAATTGGCTAATTTTTCTCCCCTAAATGGAATCAAATTGGATTTTATGTTTTACTTTCTTCAGCCCTCTGCTGGCCTTACTCTCTAAATTTGACAGCCTAGCTGTGGTTTTCAACCTTGGCTGTGCTTGATGATCTTCTATAAAAATATAGGTGCCTGAACCCATCCTGTAACAGGCTAGACCAGCATCTCCAGAAGTTCTAAATTGGGAACTAATTAGTTATCTAGAATCCAGGGGGTCCACAGCTCCAGTTAGATTTTTATTTGAAGTAAGAATCTTTTTTTTTAAAAAGATTTTATTTATTTGACGGAGAGATAGAGAACACAAGGAGGCAGAATGGCAGGGAGAGGGAGAAGCAGGCCCCCCCCCACCCGAGCAGGGAGCCCAATGCGGGACTCGATCCCAGCACCCTGGGATCATGACTTGAGCCAAAGGCAGACTCTTAAGCAACTGAGCCACCCAGGCGCCCAAAGTAAGAATCTTATAGCATACATTTAAGATGGTAAAAAAATTACTTTTGGGAGATAAGTTTCATGACCAAGTGTCAATGTTAACAATATGGGGCAATAGCAACTCAGATTCCAATATTTCATTAGTAAAAATATAAAATCAAAATGAAGTAACCTCTACCTATTTTTACATGAATGTTCATCGGTTTATTATGTTGTTTTTATATTTATTTGTTTGTTTGTTTGTTTGTTTAGTAGGCTCCATGCCCAGCGTGGAGCCCAGTGCAGGGCTTGAACTCACGACCCTGAGATCAAGACCTGAGCTGAGATCAAGAGTTGGACACTTAACCTAGTGAGCATACCCAGGTGCCTCTGTGTTTTGTTTTTAAAGAAAGAATATTTGATGTGAATTTTTTCCTGAAGATAAATATCCATATCTTTATTTCTCAATACAACAATCTTCTTTAAATAGTGGAGCAGCGATTTGTGCCTCAATAGTTGTATATTGCAGATGTGCTGAAAGTCCTTTCCTATTTTAATTTTTTTCCTGGGGTGCCTGGCTGGCTAAGTTCATGGAGCATGTAACTCTTGATCTCGGGGTTGTGAGTTCAAGCCCCACATTGGGTATAAAGATTACATAAAAGTAAAATCTTCTAATAAATAAATAATTTAAAAAATCAATTTCTTCTCTTGTGGGTTTATACCTTTGCTTTTATTTTCACGTGAAAGTTTAAAATAGCTTAATTTCTAGAATGACTGTAAATATTTCCTGTTTCGTATTTTTAAACATATTCCAAATTAACATATAAACATACCAGACAATTTTTAAAAACCCTGTCAGTTTATATCTGACTTAATGTTTTCCTTTCACATATAAAAAATTATCTTGAGGTATTGTACTTGAGTCCAGAGGACTAACAAGCTAAAATCTGGATGCTAAAGTTCTTAATTATTTCCTTTGAAATCTTCCTGACTTATTAAACACAATCTGATTTTAACTTTTTTACTTTTAACGACAGGGTCGTTACTGTGATGCCCTGAGAAACCTTAGGAGCCCAGAGTTTTGTTTACCTTTGTTATCATACCCCTAGTCAGCTGCATGTTCCTATCGAATTAGTCTCCTTAATTTCTCCCTGTTTTTGCCTTTCACTGTTCTAGCAGCTTTCCTTTCTCCCACTGAGCTTTTAATCTGTCGTATCTGATAAGTCAGACAAAGAAGTTTGCTAACAGTGTGGGGAATTTGATTACCTGGTTTGTTAATCAATATGATCTTTACATTTTCCAAGGCTATATGAAGCTTTAAACTGAAAGACTATGTACGAGGTCTGTGATGGCTAGCTAGGCTTTTGCTTGGGGGGATCCCCCTATTGCTCATTTTGGTTTGTGTAAAAGGCAAACCATCATGTAGAAAGCACTTACTTTCCTTCACCCCTTTAGTATCCTGAACCATAGGACAGTGTTTCTGAAACTTGAGCATGCCTAAGTTCTCAGATGATGCTGATGCTGCTTACTCTGAAAACCACAGCTATAGGGAACATTACTGTCATTAACAATTTTCACCTTCCATTTCTGCATTTTGTAAATATGAGTGTTACTCTTCATATAATGTCATAAGCTTGTATATGTTCTTAAAAATTAGTTATTATAGCATCTTATTATATTATTATATATTATACATCAAATGTAATAGAATCATAAAACCCATCATAAGGTCCCCACCCTCATGACCTCTAAACCTCATTATCTCCCGAAGGCCCCATCTCCAAATGCTCTTACATATGTTGATATGACTTTAGAGGTGACACAGTTCAGTCCATAGCAGCATCATATAATAACATCTTACGTATTTTTTCACACACACAAAAACAAAAAATACTGTTTTACCTGTACCAGGACTTTGTTTTACATCTCCCTCTCTTAGGTCTTCTGACATACTACTGACAAAGTCATCTTCAGCTGCATCTCCAGCAATGACTGTGTGAATATAGTGGGATATATGGTGGTTTGGTTTTATTCACCTTCAGGATAGTGTTTTAAACTCTAATATGTTATTATCCCTTTTAAAGTGAACCTGATGGGGGTGTCTGAATGGCTCAGTTGAAGTGTCTGCCTTCAGCTCAGGTCATGATTCCAGAGCCCTGGGATCGAGCTCTGTGTCAGGCTCCCTGCTCAGTAGGGAGTCTGCTTCTCCGTCTCCCTCTGCCCCTCGCCCACTCGTGTTTCTCTCTCTCTCTCTCTCAAATAAAATCTTTTAAAAAAAACAAACCGGGGGGCACCTGGGTGGCTCAGTCGGTTAAGCATCTGCCTTCGGCTCAGGTCATGATCCCAGGGTCTGGGGATCGAGCCCCGCATCAGGCTCTGGGGATCGAGCCCCGCATCAGGCTCCCTGCTTGGCAGGAAGCCTGCTTCTCCCTCTCCCACTCCCCCTGCTTGTGTTCCCTCTCTCGCTGTCTCTCTCTCTCTCTGTCAAGTAAATAAATAAATCTTAAAATTAAACATAAATAAAAAAATACTGAATGCTAAATACTGTGGTTGTTTGCTTTTCTCTAGCTTACATTCCCCACCCTTAAACATCTTTAGTCTTAGATTCCTATAGATATCTGGTGTTGTCTCTAACAAGGTCTTCTGACATATAACTGATAGAATCACCATCAGCTGTATCTCTAGCAATTACTGTCTGAACATAATCATGCTGCTGCTGTTGGGCAACTTTACCACTAGTCATCTTAATTTTAATGGGACAGATGTATAGTTCTCTAGCAGACCAGTTTCTTCTCCACCAGCGAAAGATTTCAGGACTTCTCGCCACCATTTCTCAATCCTAACTCTGTCATTGCCTCTGTTTCCCCTAGATACACATTCAGACTCTGAGAATTAGGACTGCATTGTTTAAGGCAGATATTAAGATCTAGAAACTTTATGGTTAGTAGAAGTCTTTAAGAACATCTTATCAAGTCTAGAGGAGACACGTGGTTCAAGATTCCACAAAGACTGAGCTAGAACTTTGATTTCCTGACTCTTGGTCTAGAACTCATCTAGTTTATTTCATGCTGTCATATCTCTGTGTGTATTGTTTCTCAATCCTTTGGGTTAAACTCGTTTTAAAGAACTTTATGATGTGTCCCAGATGAACTTACACTTCAAAGACATTCTCATGGGTTTTTTTATTTTTCTAAGTTCTTTAATGTTCTTTTTCTGTTCCCTCAATTTTACTATAGTTAATATGAAAACTTTAACTTCTGCCATTTAGAGTTGCAGTTTTACTTTAGTAAAATTGGTCTATTTTTAAACTTGTGGAAATCAATTTTATTTCATCCTTATGTATAACTTTGTACTATTCTCTGTGTTCTGGAGGCGATTGCATATACATTAAATCTGTTTCATGATAAATTCAACCTTTAGCTTTGGAATATAGTGAAGCCTGTTTAACTTAGATTATATTCACGTTATCATGCTACTAACATTTTCATATGATGTGACCTGATGTTTAGATTACTTTTCTTTGCCTTCCTACCTGTCTGATCCTCTTCTGTTTTTACATTGGCACATCCGGTGGCTTGTTCTTCATCTTGGAATTCCCATTGTTGTGATTTTTCTGTTTTATTATGTCCCAGAATAGCATCCAACTCAGTAAAAAATTTCATACTCTTAGTCATGCCTTGGTCTTGAGCCATTCTTACAATCTTGTATTCATGTTTTAAGTTTTTGTACTTTGTTCTGCACTGCTTCCAGTCTCTCTCTATTCCAGATTTCTGAAGCTTGGCAGCAATTTGTTCAAATATCCTTTTATTTCTCACTGTTCCTTCTAGTTGTTGTTGTATACTTATATCAGACCAGATGCCAATTAGAGCCCTGACTTCTGGCACAGTCCAGTGTTTTCCTCCTTCATTTGCTATAGTTGGAATAAAAGTTGGATTAATAGAGGGTTCCATAATTGATGTAGAGTTGCCTGTATCGGGTGGGGAGGGAAAGAGATATGTACATAGGTTACATACATAAAACAAGGTAAGTAAAGTAATTGGATGCAACCTTAGTAAACAAAATTTCTCCTTAGGTGATGGAGTACAAATCATAGCTTAGCTTTTCTCTGAAGCTAATGGGGAAATGAAATACAGAACCTGAATCTGTTTCTTACCGTGACAGTGACTGGCTTTAAAAAAGTTGTGTTTTTAATTAGTCACGTTTTGATCATCTTTTTTTTCTATCATTTCTTACTCTTCCATCCCGCTCCTTTGGTATGTGGTGTGTATGTCAGTATATACTGAATGTTGAATATATAACTTTGTATTACTTACTTGTAGAAAGCAACACAATTAGAAAGTGGCTCATTGAGGGCAATTTTTGTTTGTTTTTTGTTTTGTGATAGGATCGGTGGGAGCAATTTATCTCCTCTTTTAATTTAATGATCCGTTGGCTACATATCAATATCTCCTGGGGAACTTCTGTAAATGACTACTTTGCAATGATTCTAGTGTGCAGTCAGGTCTGAGAACCAAGATGATTCATGAATAAAGGGAAGAGTCACATTATAACAACTGGTCCTTCTTACTCCTTATGAAAATAAAAGATGTCCCATTGGTCAAAGACCAAATGTCATTTTAAGTGAAGTATTAGATTTTTTTAATGCAAGGAAGTGTGTCACAAATTCCATAATGCCTTCGGCAGAATGTCCCCACTTAGAAATCCTAGCATGGTACCTTTATGTTACATCTCTAGCATAGTTTTGCAACTCATTTTATGGTAATGACTTTACTTGAAGTTATATTGGTTATTTAAACAGCCACATTATCTTGTGTTTTTCTCAGATTTCATGTTTATGTTTAATAAAAAGGTAGTTCAGACTGCAGTATCTATAATGTAAGTCATTAAAAAAACACTTTTTAGCATTTACCTGAAGTTTAGGGAGCTGTTTTTATTTTGTGGTGTGTTTAATGTCTTTGTTTTGAAATGCTTTTCGGTATTTTTCCTTACTTGAATTAACAACTTTCAGTAAAGCAAAATGGGGATTTATATTGACTTTAATTGGGTGAATAAAACCATCCTTGACCTTATTGATTTGATAGTATTTACTTTCAAATGTAGAGTTCTATTTGTCTTAGACCTCAGGAGTGCTAAACTGACATGTTCATTAAATATTAAGCACCTACTATATATAATTTTGACCATTATATTCTCTATTATGTTTAAAGAATAAAGGTTGTGAATATGAAGGCTAATATTACTAGGCAATTTATGTTTTGTTAAATCATTTATTTTAGAAATGATTTTTTTTAGTATACATTGGTAAAAAAGAGGGAAACATAATATTTCTATCAGGAAAAATCATGCATTTTTCTTAGAAACCAATCTTCTGATTTAGAATTTGATCAGTTTCATTGTATTTTTGACCCACAATACTGTACCTAGTTCCATTGGTCTGATAGGAGAAACCAAAAGTAAAGGATTTCCTGAGAGGTCTTCCTTATCTTGTAATGTAACTGATATTTTGCCTGGAAAGAGAACAGAATTCCTTTTAGAGTAAGTTCTGAAGAAGATAAAAATTGAATTAATAATGACTGAGAATGCTAGAGCTTGAGCTAAATTTGTTCATATTCTTGAGGGATTATAGATTTGTGAGACACATTTTGTAAAAAAGCGGTATAATGTTGTTTAAATACTTACCTATATAAAGAAAATTTAATTTCTTCCATCCATTGAGATGGTTGATTTTGAACTTCCACTAGATTTGTTTGCTAATTTTATGTTTCTAGAGATGGATTGTGGTTCGTTTTCAAATCAAATTACATTTTTTAAATGAGATGTTTTCTTGGGGTGGCTTGGGTGGCCCAGTCAGTTAAGTATCTGACTCTTGATTTCGGCTCAGGTCATGATCTCAGAGTCGTGAGATCCTGGAGTCCTGGGCCAGGCTCTGCGTTGAGCATGGAGCCTGCTTAAGATTCTCTCTCTCTCTCTGCCCCAACCCCCTCTTACGCTCGTGCTCTCTCTGGAAAAAAAAAAAAAATGAGGTGTTTTCTTTATTTCTGTAATTTAGGTACTTCAACATAATAGGCACTTGGTAAATGATAGTAGCAGTGTAAAACAGAGGTCTTGTAATGAGATAATCAGAAAATCTTGTTTAATTGGCATATTTGGTCAAATAGCTAAAATTTAAATGTATCTTTTATAATCAGCTGATTGGTAAATACTAAACTTTCCAGAAATTAATCTAAGTTATATTTAAATGGACCAAGGAATGTGTCATTTAAAAGAACCATGCCAACCTTGAAAAATGAAATCGGTCCCCTCTTGATCTCCTGGTTTTATGGCTTGGATGTTTTCATAAAATGAGGCACAGACTACTTTTCAGAGTAATCAAAAGAGGTGGGTAATAGTGAGGAAAAACTAAAATATATCTTTCAAAGGAACCCAACATAGAATTTTGGATTCAGTTGGCACATGAAGATGAATTATAATTACAATGAGGCTGAAGACTGATCAGGAGGTAGTTCAGTACGTTTTGATTACTCTTTGTAATTTTCTGAATCAAAGATTTATTATTCAGCTTATATCATTTCCATACGTTTTTTTCAATTTTGGTTTACTGAGTAACAAATAGCATTCGATTTAACTTTACATTAGGAGATCAAATATTAGGCATGATTTTAATGGCACGAACATTTAAAATCACAATTCACTATTTAGAGGCATTCCATTAAAGAATAAGAAAAGGAGTATTTGTCATCTTAAAGATTATATTAGGGATTCCTATTTTAAAATAGAATAACGAATGAAAAATATGGGAAGCACTACTGTTTTCAAATGGCATATAGTTGGGAATATGAAAAATAAAAATCTGTAGTTACATAAGAATTCTCTTTAAGAGAAGTGTGGAAGATGATATACCTAGTTAATGTAACATGTGAGCGTCATGAGAACAACAAGGAAAGGTAATGGTTTGCTATTCTGTTATCTGATTTAGGGCCTAGTTTTATGTTTGTTGAAAACAGCCTGGAGCTAAACATATAGGCCAGAGTGAAAAAGAAAAGCTCTCTTCCCAACTTCTTCAGGGGTATTTTTTTTCTTAGGTTGATTATTCCTAGCATCAGTCCCAAAATTGTATGCCAGGGTCCCATGCTCGGGAGATTTTAAACTGAAACTTTTTTTTTATAAGATTTTTATTTATTTATTTGACAGAGACACAGTGAGAGAGGGAACACAAGCAGGGGGAGTGGGAAAGGGAGAAGCAGTCTTCCCATGTGACTCTGGGATCATGACCTGAGCTGAAGGCAGACGCTTAACGACTGAGCCACCCAGGCGCCCATAAACTGAAACTCTTAAGTCATTACTCCTGATGCATTTGTATCAAGTAAGAAGAGGGAAATAGGGTGGAAATTTGGTCACTGAAGGAATGTGATTCGGTGGCAGCAGTAGGTCAAAGGTATTCTGAGGTTGAGGATGATTACAATTTCCAAAACACGAAGCCTCTTAAGAGTTTGTATTTGAGTCTTTTGCCAAGGCTCAGTCAGGCTACCTGCTGCCTAACAGAGGGAACCAGATCCTCTGTCCTTACCACTTGCATGAGGTTGATCCCAACAGTGGAAAAGGCACATTCATTTTCTTCCCTTCTTCAAAGGTTTACCATACACCAATAAAAATTCTGCTGGTTCCGCCATAGAAAAACCAGAAGACATTATAAATGAATCAGACCTAGAGAAAGGAGGGATTTCTAAGCCTTAGAAAAGACTCTTTGCATTAAAAACTTTAATCAAAAACTTTGTTTTTTAAATCAAAAACTATTTGATTACATTAAAAGCTTTTGAATTCTGTAGGTCAAATAAAAGTCAGCCAAAATTGTAAGGCAAAAGAGATCATGCAATTTCTAAGACCTCAATTGACATGAACAGTTAATTTGTAAAAATAAACATATAGAAAACTTCCATATCGCTAGCAATTAAACAAATGCAAAATAAGTTATTTATTGCATATACCATTATAGTTATTTGTTTATTAAATTAGCATACTTTTGTTAAATTAGCAAAGTCTCTCCCCTACTTCAACCCCATCCTATGATCTGATACGACACAGTTCTCTATAAAAAGGGACAGTCTCATTGTTAGTAAAGTACAGTTCTTTTAGAAAGTAGTTTTTTTTAAACACTGTTTCAAAGTAATCATACCTTTTCTGACCAATAATTGAACTTCTGATAGTCTCTCCTAAAGTAATAATGTTAAATATGGACAAAAGGTATTGATTGTAGCACCTTTCTCTAAGGGGGCAAACATAAATTCTGATATATGCACTCAAATATTATGGAACCATTAAGTAACGTTTAATCCTGAATTATAATTAGTTCTGGGTATAATTTAAAGATTATTATTAAAGCAAACAAAATGCTAATATGCTTGCAATTTTATAATTTGAAAAGTTTAAGGAATAACAACCAGTGGCATTGTGGATGATATGTGGGAAGGGACTAGAAAGTAGGGAGACCATTTAAGAGGTTATCTTAATATTCCATGTGACAGATGAAGTTCTGCATGGTGGTAATGAGAATGGAACAGAGAAAAAATTTATGAAACATGTCAGTAGATTTTTTTTTTTTTTAAGGACTTAGTGACTGACCAAAGATCAAGGGTATCTCAAATGTTTCCATTTAAGTGACTGGACATACAACGATAGTAAGGTGGAAGCAATTTGTAGGAGGATCAGTTCTGAATGAGGGAAGAGAGTGTGGTTTTAGAATTGGGGTTTGAGATACCTTAAACATACAAGGTTAAGTTGTAATTATGGGCCGTCTGCTTGTAGGTGAAAGTGGGGAATTTGGAGCCATGGGGGTACTTAAATGGGTTAGAAGGAGATTTGGTTTAGTGGAGATTAAACACACACACTCACACACACACACACACACACACACACACGAGAGGGAGAGAGAGAAAGAGAGAGAGAGAGATAAGGAGGAGACACAGAGACACAAGAGAGGGGCAAAAAAAGTGTAAATATTAGCACCCACATCTTAATTACAGCAACACCAACCTCTGGTTAAATTCAAAGCTTTTCAGAAGCTGAGTGGTTTACTTATCATTAATCAATATTTAAAGCATTTAAATGATGAAGAGTGCAGGATGATTAATTGAATAAAATAATGTTATTGCTGTTTAACTTGACAATGACTGCAAAGCTTTCTCAGAATTTGGTATAGTTATCAGAAACATAAAAGGAGTAGGTTAAGTGGAGTGGATTTTTTACTAAATTTATTATTGAGCTTTAAACATGAAGTTCAGATTAACCTAATTAGCCAAATTAACCTTCAACTTCTGTCATTTTACCCTACCCCCCTTTCTCATTTGATATCTTATATTCTACCACTTAAACCATTTTCTTTGGGATGTTACATTTATTCATGGTGCCGTACTTTCTGAGGTTACACATCACTGAATGCATGTGCAAGTAGTTCAGTGCTTTGCAGACAGTAGGTATTCGAGATTTTGAATTGAATTGAACAACTCTGCTCTTAAAAATAACATCTGTAGGGGCGCCTGGGTGGCTCAGATGGTTAAGCGTCTGCCTTCGGCTCAGGTCATGATCCCAGGGTCCTGGGATCGAGTCCCGCATCGGGCTCCCTGCTCCTTGGGAGCCTGTTTCTCCCTCTGCCGCTCTCTCTCTCTCTCTCTGTCTCTCATGAATAGATAAATAAAAAATCTTAAAAAAAAAAAAATAACATCTGTAAGACTTTGGCTATGGGAGAAATCTCATTACTGCCACTGATTTCCCCGCTTTCCCTGGTGATAACATTCAGCTTCCGCAGACTGAACAAATTCTACGTAAATACAGTTGGGCTTAACACAGCAGGTCAAGAACCTTGTTTTAATATCTAAATCATTTAATCATAAATTATTTAATCTATCAAATCTATTTTTATTTCTGATTATTTAAATGGAACTGTTCTTCCAAATGAGTAATGAAGTTGTTTATTAGTTCCTAGTATTTTAGTGCCTTTATTGATAAATTTAGGAAAATGGGAACGTAAATACAGAGCAGAAAGTTCTGTCTTGTTTGGAGCTGTGGAGAAACAACAGTGGAGCAATATATTAGATTTTTTTTTCTTTTGCCACTCTTAAAAAATTAAAACCTAAAATATTTTCAAACCCAATCCATTTTCCAAAAAACGTATCAGGCATGCTTAAGGAGAGTTGGTATTAGTGGTTAATGTTATTTTTTTTTAAGCGGTTAATGTTATTTTAGTGTGTTTTTTCAGTATTTCACGGATTTAAAAAGTGGAGGTATTTAATCTTTTTAAAATTTTTACCTTGTGCGAAATAGCATAACAGGTCAGTTGTTTTTCTCAACCATGATATTCCAGGCTATGTTTATCATACGGACTCAGAAGTCCCTACTCTTATAGTTTGTTAGTAAAAACAAAAGAATGCTACTTTTTCTTTTTACCTTCAGTGGTCCCTGGAGCT